TTTTAAAAAAAAAAAAAAAAAAAAAAAAAAAGGATTAAAGGTTTCAAAAATCTAAATTACAAATTGTAGAAAGTGAAGTCCTTGGGGCACTAGGGCTTTGAGTGATCATTTCTTGAGATATTTTGTCTGCATTGGAATATATGAAATTGCAAAACAAGCTACACACGGTTGTTTAACATGTTAAAAGATTAATAAAAGAACTATGAGACAGACTGCAGCTGGTGGAAGGAAAACAGCTTATAAACCTTTTGAGAGGGTCCAGATAGATTTCACAGAACCATCAAAAGTTGGGATATATAAATATTTGCTGGTAATGATAGATCAATTAACTCACTGAGTAAAAGCCTTTCCTACCACCAGAGCGACTGCTCAATCAGTAACTAAAATAGTACTAGAACAAATTATATCATGATTTGGAATTATAAAAGCATTTAATTTGGATCATATTAGCCCACACAACTCCTTTAGGATTTGCAGTACACAAAACACAACCTGGAGGTGAAGTAATGATTAAAACCTGGAAGGAGGAAAGCTTATCTCATAGATAAGAAGGACCATCCCTAGTACTATTAACCACAAAAACTGCTATAAGAACTGCTGAGAGAGGGTGGACTCAAGTTTCCAGGGTAGAAGGACCTGTTACAGAAAAGCCTCAGTGGAAGATTGAATCAATGCCCGGAGACCTAAAGCTTCAAATGCAGTGGAATCAGAGGGATGGACTCATTAAGACTAACTGAATAATTAGAACGACTATATTGGTAACAAGAAAATTTAAGGTATTTGTTATGAAGTTTTGTAAAATCCCAAATGTTTGTTAAAATGTTGTGGTGTCTGCTTTATAAATAAGTGTATAAGCCATTGTATATAGTTGAATAAGAAGTTGAATAAGAGTAACAAAAAGGAGAAGACAACTAAAAATAAATTCAAAGTGAGGGCAAGACCAGGTTGGCCTCCATTTTTGCAGTTAAGAAGATAAACACCCGACCATTGGCAGCAACCCAATGGGTCTAGGGACAAACAGAAAAATGTGTCATACCGGACCTCACTATAGTGGTTTCCTTTTTCTCCTGATTATATGTATCATCCCTGTAATGAATACAGAAAGTCCAAGTACTCCATATGGTCCCCTTGAAAATAATGTTTGTTTTATTATCCAAGACAATAAGCACAACTTTCAATCTAAGCCATTGTTGGGTCTGTGGAGGACCTGTAGGACTGTTCAGCTGGCCGTGGGTCTCTGTACCCCTCACTTCATTGCAGATTGTGAGTAATTACAGTGATGTTAACAATACTACCTGGGAAGAAAACAGAATATGGCCAATCCAGTTTCCAAATCAGGGCAGATTTTGTGTGAACCGAACTCAGAAAGGAAGAACTGATGTAGAGGAGAGTAAATGCCAGTGGACACTTAAACATTGATCAACAAAGGTATTTATATATGGTTATGGCTTAATGAACAGGGACATAACAAAGGGTTCAAGGGATTTTGGTCAGATAAACATAAAACTGAATATGCTAAATTATACGGAAACAGCTTTTATAATCGAACCTGTGTATGGAGAAATGATATGGGATCCTGGTATTGCAATATACAGATAAATGATAATGTGAATGAAGTTTTCAGTCCTTTAGGAGATAAAAACAACCTTAACTGGATCCCTGATTACTTTGTTATTAATTCTCACTTTTGGACCTTGTATCTTAAAATAATTAACCTTGTTAAGCACAGGATTAAAACTGCCCAACTCATGATACTAAGGCAAAAATATACTGACTTAACAAGAAGATGCCACCTTTTTAGGGGCTGCTAGGGAAGCTATTTTTAAGCTTAACCAGCAAATTGAGGTATAAAAAGAAAAAGGGGGGACTGTAATAAACTATTGTAACTAATTTGCTAAGTTAAGCAAGGTGGGTATTGTAGGTTTGAATGATCTGTAAATGTTAAACCACACTATCCTGCTGTCTAAAGTATTGTAAAAATAGAATATGGTACCCTGTGTGGGTTTTGAAATGATTTGCAGTTACTATAACCTATATTACAATGAGTGTTTGAATATATATGGATAAAATATAAAAGTATGCCATTCAGTTGGAAAAATGTAACTACCTAGAGATAACCTGTAACTGCTACTTGAAGAAAAGCCCGCCAAAAAATGGAATCATGAGGCTTTTAAAAGATCCAATAGGAGAAAAACGCACCAAGAGTCCAAGGCTTCAAGACTTCCAAAAGACCCCACAGGAGGAGGACAAAGACCCAAGCATCTCAAAGGACCCAATGGAGAAAAAGCAGGACAATTATCTGATGGGAAGAGATTAATTAAAGACAATGGCACAAGAGTATAAAAACCGCTGCTTTTTGGAACTTGGGGTGTGTGTGGCAGAGCTGCGGCTCTCCATGCACCCAGCGCTGCTTTGCCTATTGCTTCCCACCCTAAATTGAACCCAAATAAAAATATATATTTTTATAAAAATCGGCTTTGTCTGATTATAACACTACCAACTAGATGAATATGGCTTAATAGTTTAACAGACTGAAAAAATTGTCACACCTACCTGCTCTAAGACACTTTTGGTTTAATGAGTAGTAACCAACTACACAACCTCATGCTCACAGTTTTGACTTGCATGTGTTATGGTTTAGGTAGCAGGAGGGTTTGTTTCTTTTTTTTTAAAATTATCATTAAACACTTAAAATCAGCTTATATTTTTTTAAAAAAAACCAAACCTCAGGACTTTTTAAACAATCTGCTGACCAAATGCTGATTATATAGATACATGTTGACGAGTTGTTCAAAGCATTCCCCAAAGAACCTATTTGTCATTCTGTTTTGAAAAAAAATCAGAGGAATAAATAGGAACTTTGAAGTAGCAGGAACCAGACTGAAAAATAAACCAATCCTTTCAGCCTTCCCAGAGAACAGTCAGAACTGAACCAACTGCATTACACCAGATTCAGCCCAGTAGCATAACAAGGTTTCAGATTTTTAGTAGAAAATGGAAGGGTTACTTTTAAGTATTTGCTACAGAAAGCAGTGAAAAAGAGGTGTTATTAGAAGAGAATACACCTTCAAATCACAACAGAAAATAGAGGTGAGCCTTGCATAAAAGTTCTCCCCATCTAGACATACACTCACCCTGCAAGTAAAAATATAAAAATTCAGACACATTCTTCCCTATCTAATGGGATAAGGGGGACAGGAAGGGAAGAACAAGCAAAAATATTCCAAGACCCCCATAGACAATGTCACTTCTATTCCACAATCATGAAATTACCTTTTTTGGCAGAAACACTCAAACACCTATTAAATAGAGTAGCAGCAGTTAAATCTTAAACTGCATTTCAAGTAGCTTGCTCCTACAAGGTGAGCCATATATATTATTTCACCCAGTTTAACTACTCAAAAAGCAGTAGCATGGGTTCCTCTAACACCAGCACTTTGCTTCCTTTTGCACATTCTTTCTACTGCAAGTTGTCAGAGTAAGTTTATGCCACTAAAAGGATCACCTTGTGAAATATCTCGTTACAGCAAATTGACATGTACTTCATTTAACAATCTTAGAAGAGTCCTTTGGGCAGCATTACCGCACAGACCATCTGTTTAGAGCATACAGAAGAGTCAGTAGACTTTCTAGGATGATTATGTCCTAATTCTGTAAAGTCTTACCACTGAGATGAGTTACTTATGTTTCTGAATACTTAGAGCTTACTCCAAAGCAAAATAGTTGTTTCTTCCAAGTCTCATCCACTATTTGCTCTCAAAGAAGGCTAGTTAGAAGTGAGGCAGAGAACAGGAAAAAAAGGAGAAATATTTCTATTTATTTGTGTTACCAGTAAACTGAAATAATGAACACAAGTTGAGCAGGCATTTGAAGACTCCTTTGAGGCTGACAGCTACTTCCAAAATGTCCAGTGCAGTTGTCCTCTCATTTCTTTCCCTCATCACTTCTGGTATCATTTTCTCATTTCTCAGATCCCCAAGAATGGCACTGAGTGTCCCCTTTGACATGTAACAAGTTGGGGTATCTGGCTCAAGTGAGGAAGTATGTTAAAACTGCAAGGAAAGGACATTGCACCTCATGCCCAATGTCACACAAACTTCTTGTTAAGCATGAAACATTTTAGCTTGTATTTGCTCCTGCTAAAATTAAAAGCTTCCTTAACTGTTTAGTTCTGTCTTTAGCTCAAAATTCTTACTTTACTTCACCTTCAACTTCTTCAGAGTAGTTGCAGATTCTGTCTTGTTACCAAAGCAAGGTTTATGGCTTCCTATCAATTCAAAGAAGTTAAGCAATTAATTTTAAAGCTCACTTCTGTTTAGAGAGATGTTTACTACAGTTGTGGGTGAGTAAGGCCTTCTGTTTAGTGGCTTTTTGTGGTTTTGGGTTTTTTGGTTGGGTTTTTTTTGTTGGTTTGGGGTTTTTTTTGATACTACATCCAAATATCAAAAGCTTCAATCTGCTACTCTGACTCATGAAAGTAAACACCTCAAACTCAAACCAATGAACACTTTATTTGCCAAACTTTGTGACTGGGTGAAATACACAACTTCAAAGAGACAGAGAAAGCAGCCTTCAAGAGTGCAGTTACAGTCTCCGTTGCAGACCATATTGTGCATATTTAAATTTCACCATGGTATCATGGAGAATTTGGTATAAACTCTATATACACATTTAAACACTGTACTCTTGAACATCATTTGAAGACTTGTGAAGTACTGTTCTCCTTCATACAGAATTTCAAATATAAAGGCACATACTGGAACCTGTGACAGGATTCAGCCCACTGATACCTCCAAAACCCAACTCCATTAGCAGAGGGCTGCAATCATTCCACACCAAAACCCAAACAACCTTTCCAGTAGAAATAGACTTTATCGACACCAGCACAAAACTGGTCTCTTCACAGATACACAAAAGCTACTTTGAGATACCACCATTCATGATGGTTCTTCAAACTAAAGCCGGAAAATCCTCAGGATCATCAGGGTTTGGAGCAACAAGCTGCACCTGCAAAGAAAGAAAAGAAGCTTTATAAAAATTAATGCATTTCAGAAGCTTCTGATAGCTATGCATATGTATTTTACCCTGAAAAGGGTTCATTATTCAATGCTTAGTATCCATCAGTATCACAGAAATGCTAAGCATTTGTCTCAGAAGTTATGACTACTATAATTTCTTCAGCGGGAACATATTTATAAGCTGATCTACTGCCTGGGGAGGACCAGATCACAAGTTCTACAGCAAAGTGAAGAAAAAAAGTAAAGACATCTCACTCAAAATACTGTCTATTTTTAGAAGCAGCATGATTTATCTTTTTACATTCTAAGGCTACTACACATGTTAGATTGTAGTTTTAAACTCTGTGCTCTGTTATGACAAAAAGCCTCTTTCAAACAGATGAAACGAATCAAATCACTTCCATATCATTCTGTATGTTGCTCACCTTAAAGTATTTTACTCATACTAGACAGAATAATATTGAACACTTGTATCATTATGTAGAATGCTGTAGGGTTATGTCTTCATTGGTAGGATCCCAGATTTACTGATCTCACTCTCAGTAATCAAAGTACTATTACTCTACTACACTGAAATTTTTTGTAAGGGATACAAGCCTTTAGTCATTTTAATTATTTCCCAATTTATATGAAAACTCACTGCAGAAACAAGTCTTCATAGCATCCCTTCCTTTAGTTACCATTACAGCAAATAGTAATCAGACCTTCTGAAATTTATGTGTTAAGAATGGTAAGCCTGAACCAGTATTTAATTTTAAGTAACATGGTATGGGTCGGCAACTTAGAATAGCCAGGCCAACTTACTATGAGGCAGGAATTAGAAACAAGCCTGTCATTAAGGAAACAAGTAATTCCACATGAAAGAAGGCAGGACACACACACCCTCCAACAAGCAAAAAAACCTCCAAGAAAACAACAAAACCCATGAAAACCATTACCACTACTGCTGGTTGTGGTTCTGCGTTTGCAACTCGTCTGCCACAACCACATCGTGATCCTCTTGATCCACGACCAGGGCGCGAAAGACTCCCAAAATTAATATCCAGCTGAGATGTTATGTCATTCACCGGTCTTCGAAAGACATGAGAGTCATCTTCAAAGTCTTTCTGCAACTAAAAAGAGGATCTGATTAAAGCTGACAGCTTCCACGTACAGCCTTCTCCCCTCCCTGATACATATACACATGCACACTTGTATTACAGACTAAGAAGCAGATAAATAAAAATTACATCCAGAATAGAAAACAGGCCTTAACTAGCACAGGGTTTTAACAGAGGTGAGGCAATTGCAGCTTCCCAAAAATGCCTGGGATAGTTCTTTGTTGGCTTAGAGAGTCCTGGCAACAAAGTCTTCTGTACCAGTTCTGTAACACTGAAGAGGTTTTTCAGAAATCCTAACCATGAGGTTTTCTAAGATACCAGAGAATAAAGCTTAAGCTACTTATTTCTATAATTATCTTCAAGTAATGGTTAAAAGGCCATAGTAAAGCACAGTATTTGACCACTAATCGATCTATCAGTCTATTTGTCTGCAGCTATGAGATTACTGTTGTTTTAACTCTGTGCATTCCTAAGACTATTTCCCATCATAATTTTAATGTGCACTGTAGTAATGATAACATATACATAAACTCACCCCATGGAGTAATGAATCACTTATATTATTCAATGTCTAACACAGGGATTTGTCTTGTCCATGTCACACAGATCCTGTACATCCTATTTTATGTTCATTTTGACAAGGCCCCTTGATACTGCCAGCCAAGAAACTTCACAGGCAAAAAGAACAGAAACCACCATATACTGTTCACACGCTTGCATACTCTCTTCAGAGGTTGTGAAACATTTTCCCCACCCCACCACCATCCCCCTCAGAGAAAGAAGAGGGGATAACAGCAACTGTGACCACCAAAAGCCATGCTAAAAAGGGCACAGGTCACTTCAGTATTAGTGTCTGTCCCTGGAAGAGCTCAGTAATCTAAAACAATTAAGGCTTAAAAAGCTGCAAGTTTTGACATTAATATTATAACCAGACAAAGGATAATATGTGTATTCATAAGTGCATGTGGACTTTAAGGATGGGAATTCCATCATGCCAGACTACAAATATATGAACATACTTCTGTTGTGCCCAAAATCTGAAATCTAAGTAAGCAACTTGTCATGTAGTTGTAAATAATCTGTGAAAGAAACCTCCTCTCCCCAATTATATCAACTAGCAGTTCTCCCTGAAATGTCAATCCCAGTAATATCATGGTATAAAAATTGGGGAAAAGGAGGGGGGAAAAAAAAAGCACATTACTACAGAACAAGCTCTTGAGAGTTACTATTAAGAAGCAGAACCCTAAAACTGAAAAAAACCCACCCAAACATATATTTCAAGAGCACAATGAAAGCTGGGATCCAGCACAGATGAGAAATAGGACACTTAGCGTCCAGACTAACAGATGACAAAAACCCCAATTTAATACATACATGCAAGTGTATACTCGCAAGTAAGCTAAAGAGGATTCAAAGTTAGGATAAGAAGTGTTTAGTAAACCAAAGTTTCTCTAGCAGCATTACCAGGGATCTAAATAAGTGGCAGCAGCAAGGACACAAGTTTTATATTGCTAAGATTGAGCTATGAGGTAGAACAACTTGATATATTAGGTATCTGCATACAAAATATGGGTGATGATCTGAGAGAAGAAAATGAACAGACGGTATGTTTAAAGCAAGTTTTGGGGCACATATGTCATTACAGTAACAGATCTTAGATACTGATTTCTAATATGTTCAGATTATAGTGAAACTAGTAGAGAAAGAATAGAGACAGTTTCCTAACACTGGGCATAAAGCAGAGTTTACAGAATTCCTGAGGCAATGCTTACATCATCACTATATTTTGACTTGTGAATCACCACTGCTTTGGAAGGAACAGTGGATTCTGGCTTCCGGATGTTGAATTCAGGCTTTGGTCGATTCTGTTGCTGAAGATTTTTCCACTCATCTAAGGTCATTTCTTGAACTACTTCTTCCACTGGCTCTCCTTCAGCAACTCTAAAGGTTTATAGTTGTAAAGTAAAAACCATTAAAAAGACATGCCAGGATGAACAAGAACACTAATCTCTAAAGTAAGGATACTAAACAAAACATTTGGAATGTTTCTCACCAAATAACTCTCCTTAATTTCACTTACTCCCCACAGTAACTTGATGTGCAAGTTTAACATTAATGTAAGTTGGAAAATATACTTATGGCCCATTGAACTTAGTTGTATGAACAAATGCAGTCTCCAGCCTCCTGTAGTAAATTCTGGTATTTATCCAGTCTCACTGTAAATTCCATCACTTCAGATTCTAGACAAAACCAGGCTGTGTTTTGATCTGGCATATTCTTAACCCTACTGTTTAAAAGTGGATCAACTCCTAGCAAATACAGCCATAATAAAAAAGCATAGCAAGAAGTTTTAAAACAACCTAATTGCATGTTTTATTGACTCATACTGCAGTATGACAATATGAGATGGATTTATGTTTCAGTGTAGCTTTCAGTCAAAAAGACATGATGATCACACCATGGGATCTTCTACGTAATTATTAACATTTCCTTTGTTAATTTCACAAGATGCTTCTTTGATTTCTTTTGTCAGATATAGTAGCACACAAAGAGACAGTATTTATCACTGTACAAAACCAGATTTAGCCCAGTTTTAATTTGTCACAAAGTACAATAATGATGGTATGTTCAAGGAGAACATACGGAGTACATCAGAGTTTGCCTTGCATATTTTTGAACTGTAAAGACAGAGTCCAAGGCTTTACGTCTGCATTCACAAGACAAGATACATAAGACAGAACTAAACCTTCTTCACTCACTGCATGACTAATCTTCTGCCACTTTTCTGATGCTGACTAAGACTGCTGACTTGTCCAGGATCAGCAGCTACTAGACTACACTACAGGTGTACTTTTAGTGAAATTTGCAGAGAGCTATTCCTTACTAAGCAGCATCACATGCAGGGAGCACAACTCACTTCATCACCATATTTGTTTGCTGCAGAAACGTCAGGTACCAGGAACTAAGGAAAACTTGCACTGATTGCTTCCAGACACTTGAAAAACCATTTATCTCTTCTCCCACACAAAACAGTTATGCATCACAATAGCAGTCAAACTTGGTTAAGTATTTTCCCAACACTGATTAAAAAAAACAATACAACCTTTCAATAAGTCGCCTCTGATGGAAGAACTATGAATTTGTTCTTTTCCACTCAATCACAGTTCCAAGTTTCCTTCTACAAAATGCTGATGATTTTTCCAATGGAAATACACAGTTGATTAGATGCAAGTTGGAAATTTATTTTATCATGGAAAGATGCAGAAATGACAGTCAGTGAACTGCACATTTGGGGTTTTTTTTGTACAAACACTCCAACAAAACACACATTTGCTGGGAGTGTTCTGTATGTTTAGAACTAGCATATATATAGGAACAGGCCTATTAGATCTCTTCCTCTATCTCTTCCTCCTTGATCTTGCAGAGAAGCATTCTGTTTCTTGCTAGTCAAAATTATACAGTATTTTCCTAAAGCAACCAGTGTATGACAGGTAGAAGCAGAACTGAACAGTAAGACAGCCCTTAGTTTTGGATCTAGGATGAATACAGTTTTAAATGCACTTCACAGAAAAAGAAAAAAAATATGCAAATCTTGTACTGTATGCCTACACTCTGATATGCCTTCATGCCCTGTTATTTTGAAAATTCAGCTAGATCAACCAGAAATTAAATGTTAAAAGACTGGTAAGCAGCTTGAAGTTCCATACTAATTAAGAATATTTGAAACTATATTAGAAGGATTGTTAATAAAAAAAAAAAAACAAAAAACCCAGTATACTGCTTTAAATAAAAAGGATACAGGTGAAAGATTCAACTTCTGAAAAAAACAAATGTTTCATGGATAAGAGCATTAAGAACCAACTGCACTCCAAACATTTCCATTTGTCATCCTCAAGAGCAGGAAGCCAGACAATTTTTGATCAGTTATCTGAAGTTTCAGTTTTGGGAATAAGTGTTGGAAAAACAAGACTAGCTGCAAGCACCCAGAGGAAGAAGAAAAAAAAAAAAAAAAGAGAATGTAAACTAATAAAAAGGGGCTCTATTAAATTGATATAATCTCTTCCTAAACAACCACCTTAGGACAGATTCAGTAAATTGCTGATCTGAACTTTAGGTAGTCTTCTGCCCTCCTTGCCCATTAAGTTTTCACCACGTTAGGGAGACCCTATTTCAGTCCTTGGCAAGAGCTGTAGAAGGATAAAACAACTGGTTGCAGCAAGTACTTGAGGAGTAGCTGTCAATCTCTCAAGTCTGCAAAAGTAGAATAAGCATCTGAGTGGGGCTTTAAGGCCAACTCTGTACAGTTATCTGCAGGTAATATATAATACATTTACTGCGTTTTCTATGGCACAATGATTGCAAAGGTAAAGGGCAATTGTGCAGGTGTTCAAGAATGACCAGTGGTATAAGATGCTACAGCAACCAAGTGATTTGAAAACAATCAAAGCAACCACCACCAGGTAGTCCCAAGGACATGCAGGAATATGTACTTCCAGGCAAAAAGCATGAGCCACCCATATACAGAAAGAACCACTAGCAAAGCAGAAGCTCTGAAGGAGTGATCCCAACCCCCCAAAATGTGTAAGAGTATTGCAGGTAACCCAAGATGTCAATGCTAGTGAGGTGGAACAAGGTCTCAACTGAGTAATGTCTTCCACATCAGAACATGTAGAAAGTACAGAATAGAACTGCAAGACAGATATTAGGTCTAAACTACATGATCTACATAGGAAGGGCGAAAGAAAAGGCGGGGCAAAAAAGGGCGAAAGAAAAGGCGGGGCAAAAAAGGGCGAAAGAAAAGGCGGGGCAGGAAAAAATAGCATAAAGAAAACTTTGCATATCTGTGATGCTTATTCAAGACACTCAGGAGAAAAACAAACTACACACAGTAGTTTCTATTTTCAATGTATTGGAAAGACCATCAAGTGACATTGAAATGTCTATCAGTAGAGGACATTAAAATCAACCAGACAGGAATGAGAAGCAGCACAGGTATACTGGTCATGCCATGGGCCAGCAAGACCCCTTTCAGATCTAAATTTCTATCATCATAAGACAACATGAGGACATTTTACTACACAGCAACTTGACCTCAATAAAGAAATCACAGATACTGCTTTGAACAGTACACATCTATCAAAAACAACCACCTGCCTGTCCTAAAGGAAATACTAGTGGATTTACACTGCAAGTGTTTGGCTTTTCAACTACAAAGTACAGTGTGATTTTTACTTCAAAGTATGGTTTCAACTAGGTTTTCAGCTACTGATAGGTTATTAGCAGTACAAACTTGTTTTAGGATGCCGACTCCCAAAAGGGAAACACCTCCCATTACTGAAGCACAGCAGCAGGAACCTGCGTATCACATTTTGACAGAGACTTGGCTGTAGCAGGTTATTTTGGGCACCAAGCCTGCATGGAAGTGCACTCTATGCACTACTTTCTAACCTTATGCATTTTGGGTATTGCTTGGTGGGCATTTTCATTAATCAGGTTAATAAGCTCCTTGGCACAACAACAACCATGCTTACAAAATATTGCCAGACAGCTAAGCACAGCCTCTGGACACAAACAAACTGAATTCACAATGCAAGTACATACCAAAACACCAAATGGGAGCCTTCAGTAATGGTTCCTACTGCTTCAGTGTTTTCAATGGATGATCATAACCCTCTAAGTCACACCTTGTTTACTATGCATACCTTTCTTGCAGGAACTGCTCTGCATGAACACATTAATATGCAGAAAGGCAAATGGAAAATAATGTCATTCAGCTCACTTGTTTGGCTGATTATTTTCATATTATTAAAATAATAGAGGGTTTTTTTCAGATCAGCTTTTGTATTATTCAGCAGCACATCCAAATGCTTATTCAGCTTGTATCAAGAAATCAATGACATGAATTTTTCAAATATCATTTACAGAAGCATTACCACCAGTTATAACAAAATTAAAAGTTAAACAAGATAAGACTAAGTGACAACTGTATGCATTAATTATAGAAGAAAAACACCGAACCAAACACTTAAGAAGATCTGGCTTGATCTATGGATAGCTTTAAGTCACTACTGGGGAAAAAAACAAAAAAAAAAACCAAAAAAACACCAAATAAAACCAAACCAGAGAGGTAAATACCTCAGTGAGCTTAATGACAACTTTTGAAAGCTTCCTATTAAGTAGCCAGAAGAATACATAGCTCCACCAAAAAGGAAGAAAGCCCTATGTGAAGAAACGGAAGGAAACCCCACAGAATAAATACTAACTCTGCAAATACCTTCGATAGGAATTGATCTAACTGTGTCATCCTGAATAAAAAGAAAAAATTATTCATTTGAATTACCACTCAACAGAAGCATATTACATGGTTCAGACTGTGAAGACAAGTTCAACAGAAAGCAGCTGTAAGGAAATTTTATACTTTCTATTTGCAGGAAAACAACTATTAGCATGCAGTTTGGGATGCTATAAACAGATAGATATTGTTGATACACTCAAGGAAATTTGGAGACTTGGAAAGAAATAATTTAAATTAGAGAAGTATTAAAGAAACTCTTGTCCTGCAATACTTTTCAAATGGAAGTTCAAGAACAGCAATGTTGACATAGTCCCCGAGACAAGACCCCATGAGTTACAGAAGCCTACAGAAGTCTTTCCAGAGTTGCACTGAAATTATCCAGTACCATGGCAGAAAGCTATACAGTATCTCCACACAGGCAGATTATTCCCAATTTCCAGAAATACTTTTTTTTCATTTTAATAAAGAGTTACAACAGATACCCTGGTTTTGGCTGGGGTAAAGTTAATTTCATTCCTACTAGCTCATACAGTGCTGTGTTTTGGATTTAGTGTGAGAATAATGTTGATAACACACTGATGTTTTAGTAGTTGCTAAGTAGTACTTATCCTAATGTCCTGGTTCAGCCAGGACAGAGTAAAGTTTTCCCCAGCAGAGAGAGAGAGGGGGAAGGGATCTCCAGCCGGGTTATTCATACCATGCTGACATCAGGTCCAGGGGCGGAGCCTTTTCCTTGCTATTTGGCAGGCTCAGGAGGGAACTTTGCTTTCTGTAAACCAGCTAGCAGTATTTCTCTGTATATCGTTTGTCTTGCTCACTGTTATTGCTGTTTATTGTTGTTACCATTGATACTGTTGTTCAGATTGTTCTATCACTCTGTTGTATTAAATTTCTTCTTATTTTAGCCAGGGTCTGTGTCTAACTTCCAGCCCAACTGGCGCAGGTGGGGGAGTGGCAATGGCAACGTGCTCTCTCATCCCGACAAGGATTAAATCTTGCACACCTAAGCAAAAGACTTTTCACTTTCCCATGCTTTGCCAAAGAGGAGATGCACATGAAGCTGGGAGGAAGCATCACCAGGACAGCTGGCCCGAACCAGCCAAAGGGATATTCCATACTATAGGATGTCATGCTCCATATAGATACTAGGGAGAGTTGGCCAGGAGGGGCAAATCACTGCTGAGGCACTGGTCAGCAGGTGGTAAGCAATTGCATTGTGCATCACTTGTCTCTTCTTGGCCATTATTTCTCTCTTCGTTATATTCATTTTCATTACAATGATTATTATTATTATTGTTATATTTTATTCTATTTTAGTTATTAAACTGTTCTTATCTCAATCCATGAGTTTTACTTTTTTACAATTCTCCCCCTCACCCCACTGGGAGCCAGGAGTGAGTGGCTGCACAGTGCTTAGTTGCTGGCTGGACTTAAACCACCACAACAGTAACAATAATGAGAGGAGAAATAAACCCAAGTTTCCCATCTCTTCCCCAGTACAAGCATACAACAGCAGTAAGCAGTAGAAAAGACATGGATTCCTTGGAGTCGCTGCATGTAAGAGTTAGAATGAGAACAACCCTAGCAGTAACTTAAGCGAACACATACTCCTACACCAAACAATACTGAAGCTGTAGCAAAAGCAGAAGGTAGCCTAGCTAGAATCTTTTGCTGGTTTATGTTACCTGTCAAAAGACAGCAGCTCTGGAGACCAAGGGCAACCTAAGCATACAAGACCTTAAAATACATCCTGAAGTCTGAAAACCATATCCCACCAGCTTTTGCTTTTAAATATTTAAAGAAGAACAAAAATAATTCCACCTTGTTAAGGCATATGCCATACAGCCATCCCTAATTACCTAAGCACTATTTGCATAATACATAGAGTCATCAAGATGACACTACCCCTAAAGGTAAGTGCAAGGAGGTGTATGTAATCTGTATTTTGGATACAGATCTGCTAGTCTTCGGGACACTGAAAGGAGTACAAAATGCAGAATTTTGTACTTGTGGATTACTTGCATTTGAGTCTTACAGGTTTCAGTGGACTATTCCTAAATGAAGTTTTTTTTAAAAAACAAAAAGGAGTTTCCAGAAAGGCTCACAGTCTGACTGAACACCTAGTGATCTCTGAGAAAGGGAAAAGAATTAAAGACAACTGGCAGATTCTATGAGATGCCTTTTCCCCTACATATACTTCTCATGCCTTACACTCTACTGATGTCAGGAGACATTTACAGAGCTTGAATTGGAGTAGAAACAACTAAAAACAAGTAAAGGTACCAGGAGCTGACAAAAAAGCTGAATAACTATTCTCATATTTAGTGCGACAGTTTATCTACACTACCTATCTGGTCTAAGTTAGTTTAGAAAGAGTTTTCTGGAAATCCAATTGTAGTGATTCAATTTCAGAGACTGATTTCCCCATGTATACTCACTTCTAGCTACATTAAAAGCTAGTTTAAATTAAAAGAATCAAAACTGTATCAACTCATCTTCTTACAACTGAACATATAAACCAGGTTTTGTAGCCGAGCCAGCTTTATGATTAAGAAATGAATGAAGGCCACTAATAACGAGCTGCATCAGTACATAAAAAAGGCTTCGCAGCAACAGAAGAGAAGGCTGATATATTGCACTGACCCTCTTCCACTCATCAGGAGATGCTATAAGCTATTTCATTGTTCCTTAAAGTATTTTACTTGGACAAGATTTTCCAGTTACTTTTTCTTAAGTCAGTGTTTATTTGCTGTGAAGTAAATTCTCACTGGACACTGACCAGAATGAAAGCTAGAAGACAAGGGGCAGATTTGTCTCTGTTTCCCAACTTCTGAGGTTCACTGCAATACTATTTCCAACAAGGTTTTCAAGTTCTACAGAGGCTCTTAATGAATAGATGACAACTGCCTGGTATTAGTGACTGATGAATACTGAGTCAAAGAATTTTATCTTGGTGTATTTTAATTGTTTGTACCTTTGCACAGGCACCTTGGATACCTTTTTCTCAGAGAACTTCAAAAAGCAAGGCAGTTTTTAAAAATTAGCCAATTAAAAAAGGTAAGAGACCTTTTTTAGGTAGCTCCTCCTGAAATTATCACAATAGGTAGCTCCTCCTGAAATTATCACAAACCATAGGAATGTAAGCATCACTGGACAACTAAATGCAATCTGCAGCCATATAAGCCAAGCTTTAGTCAGAATTAAGGATGCCTTTCCTTGACTCACAAATACAGGCAAAGCTTTTCTACTTTTAAGTCCATGCTCTAGCAAAACTTCACATTTCAAATATGCCTTCCCAATACAAGTATATCAGTAACAGTCAATTCTTTGTATTTAGAAAGAAAATATTTCAGTCAGACTATACTTGTTCAGAGGCTCTTCTTCAGATGACTGTGGCTTCTCAGCTGTCTCTGCAGTCTCTTCCATTGGAGCAGTCTGTTTCATCCCACTAAAACAATAAACAAAAAACAAAGTCTTTATGGGTCACACTGGGAAAAGCCTTGCATATCAATACATCACTTTTTCCCAGAATTCCTAGGGAGGGGAAAAAACAGAACCACCTCTAGGAACATAAACAGAAAGTAGATCTACTAAGTAGCTAGTTGAGCAACTAACAATATGAGAAGTATTAAGAAAATCCAACTTCTATGTACTTTTAATCAAAATAAGTAAAAAGTATGCATGAAAATAAAATAATTCAATTGTGAATACTAATACCAGTACTTAGTTACAATGTATCACTGATGCCTGAAAGTGCCCTTTTGTTTCTTTTCAACTATTCAAATGGTAAAATTCATACTCCAAGTTAATATTTTCTGTAACACAGACATTTGTTCACTGTCAAGTGGGAGCAGTAGCATACTTTCGTTCTACTGGTAGGCATACATGTTTAAAATTAACACCTTCTGGCTTTGATGCATCATTGAGCACAATTAAGGCACTGACATGCTTTTAGAATTGTTTATACAACTCCAATTTAAGTCACTTCTACCACACACACCCCCACATCACAGGAAAGCATTAATATCTCATGTTTATATCATAAGTTCTGATGCTACTGAACTAGAAAAATTTAACTAGCAGAATAAATTTAAGATTCCTTATATTTCTTTTATTTTACGAAGTTCACACAACCTTCCCTGACATCACAGACTACTTCTGTGCTTTTGGTCAGCTAGTTTTGTGCTATCAGCTCACAACTATGTTAACCTAGCTGATCCTCTCTTTTCAAAAACTACAGTACCTAACCAATCCTTTAGTATAAAATATTATAGGAGATAAGTTAGTACAACCTTTCAGAAGAACTTGAATATCAAGCCCCAAAATTATTATGCATCAATGATGTATTTTTCAACCTCTTAGACTGCCTAAATCCACAATCTAAATTTTAAAAATTTTGAAAACAATTCTGTGAATGAAACTGTGTCCAAAGATGTTTGCTGTAAGTTCAAATCACTGCCTTTTCTCTGTCCTTTATCAGCCTTCAGTTAAAGAGTTCTAGATGTATATGAGAACAAAAGCTACCAGAAAGAGTAGCATATTGCTAGGTGCAAAGAATGGTCAAAACCAGACATTTCCAGTGAGATTTTTTTCAAATTGAACAGAAAACAGTAATAAAATACAGAAATTAACAGAAAATTCCCAATTTTCTTTTATCTAACTTATCATTAATAAGCCATCACATTCTATTACTAATCCTCCTGTGAGCTTTAAAATGTATTTCAGTGGTAAAGTCAGCTAAATATTGCCTCCAGAGCCACACTGAAATCACATTACAGCTTTGTAATTTAGAAATGATCCATAAAACTTGAGAAGAGACTGGACTTTAAGCCCACTGAGAGTTTCGATCTTTTAATCGTCATTTTCTAACAACACCATTAAATGCCAGAGTCCCACTTACTTGACTATTGGGAAAAGTCATAACTTATTTCAGTTAAAAGACAACTTGGCCCGAGTCAAAAGATTTTGGCAGTCTTAACTGAAGAAACAACACCATGCCTTTGACACAGTTTAATCCCACCAACATGAAGGAGACTAGTTCAGAAAACTGTAAAGCTACATTCACCACAACAATTAATAGAAAGCAATTATAAAGCTAAAAATGGACATGAAACATAAACAGAAAGTTGTGATCTAAGGTGGGTTATGGAAAATCATGATCTGTGGTGGGCGCAACGATAATATTTTACCTTGTATTATCTTTAACTGTTTCCCAGTTGAAAGCTCCACCTCCACCTTTTTTGTCATCTGCTTTCATTCCTCTAAAGATAGAAACAGAGTTCTGTGAGTTCAAGAGCTTTTTTTCCATTAGGATCTCAGACTAAAACCAGTATTGACTTTTTGCCAGCCTACCTGGATATAAAAGAAGGGTACAGAATACTTAGGAGACACTACTGCAGTGCTGACAATTTTTTATTTGTACACCAAGTAAAAAGCAGCCCACAGAACACTTACGTTTTAACATTCCCACTTTGTCTTTCAAGCTCCCGTTTTCCTCTTTGGTCAAAGCCATCGAAACTTCTATTTACTCCACTACCTCTTCCTCTACCTCGGATTCTATTTTTTCCTCCAGCACGACCTCTTATTGGCCTTTCACGGTCTAATCTTTCAATTGGCCTAAAAAGAAGATTTCTAGTGAGATTTTTGTTCCTACAAAACAGTTAACAAGGAGAAAAAAAAATCCATGTGGTTGTATTTGTGCAACCATGTGGGCGTATTTGTGTATTTGAGACATCAGTATATGAGAGCTACTGTACAATTTTTAGAGTGCATCTTCACACAGCACACAGTACAGTTTTAGTTTTGTCATTAAAAATAGACATAAACTGAACTCAGGAATTATTAAAGATAACAGGAATAGAAAGTTCAGCTGTTTATTGATAATACTAAAAACATTAAATAAGATATTATAAAACTATCAAATCTTCAGCAACTTTATCAGGCCATAGCTCCACTGTCTAAACCCAGATTTATATGCAACTGCTAAAAATTTTAGGGAACTTGTTAAATATCAAATGTTGTGATGTAAACTAAGAACAACTTCAAGTGTTAAAGGTTTACTGTCAAATATAAAGAAAGAATATAAAGAATATATTTCTTATAAAGAAAGCAAAATTGATATGCATTCACTGACCAAGCATTAACCAGTATGACAAGCATTTCAGTTTGAACAGTAAAATTCATTCAACTTGGAACCTGCACCACATGTTCTGCAAAGCTTAGTAGGCAAGCTCAGAAATGAACATTTATGTTCCAGACTAGGGGTTACATTCTCAGATCTTTACACTTTTCAGTTCTGTCTTATATTTCTACCATTTAACAGAACTGCTCCAAACCAACCTGTGAGGAAGCTGAAGGTACAGCTCTGATGGGCATGAACTAAATTGTCTTGAAACAAATCTACATGCAAATAATGCAACCACACCTTCAATTCATGTCTGGCTCCTAGATCTGCCTTAAAAAGATTAAGTCTTTTCCTTCCCACCCCTGTGCAGATCCTCCACTAGGCACCTTACTTCTCCCTGTATGACACATACTTTTCCACTGTGAATTCCACTTCTCTTTCTGTCTCATAGGAATGGTATTCACTGAAAGCTGGTCTCCAGTCAGTTTTGTCTTGTTTCACCTCTGCTCCTCTGTTATTGAATCCTTGCTGTTCTCCCCGTTTAGGTGCTCGCTTCTGGCCTACACAAACACACAGATACAGGTTACTAACAGTTTCATAACAAGCTGAATTGCAGTTACCAAAACTACTGACTGAAATGAGTTGATTACAGTCTTCTGATTTACCCTCTCCACTCCCAAGTCCACCAAAATACTAAAAGCAATTAAAGTTAATGTTGCCAGACACTGTATTTTAAAGGCATTTATTTCCCTTCTGCACTGATGAACCTGCCTCAGGCAAAAACACTATGGGTGTTGACACAGCTCTGACATTTCCAGAAAAGACGGGCTGAAGAAAAATCTCATTTCACTCACACTAAGTTACAGAAATCGAGAATAAAAACTGTTTCTCTCATGGTTTCTCAGAGATCTTCCTAGTGTGCTACAGTACAAGGCGGACCTCCTGCCTGATGAGCTGAATTTAGAAGTATGAGCCTGCACCTCTACTTTAAGCTCACAGCTGTGGTATCCAACAACCAGAAGAGGGTCACCTCCTTCTACTATTGTTCTATGGAGGACTATTCACCAATACTACAAGTCACTAAGTTTAAGTAACAGAAACCCAAGCAGTAAGCACAAAGGCTTCCACACTAATGATTGATTCTAGAATATCAACACATTCCAAGATAAAATGTATTTAAGCTTTTCTGGAGTTCTCAGCCACTGTCAGGGTTAAGGAAGAGCAGGCTGGGTAAAGTGAATGCAGAGGAATGGTGTATGTATAAGAGAGAATAAACAGAGGTTATCCATTCAACCCATATACATCTATCATAAGAATTAAGTTCATTATGTTCTTCCTTCCCCATTCCCCAAAATTCTGTGCTTTATTTAGGACAAAGTTTTCCAGAAGCAAGCCTTTTGTCTGCTAGGCCCCTATACTTAAACTATCTGATGAAAAAGGTATTGGTTTAAGACAGTCAGTCTCAGAACTAAAGAAACACTCTTAGACCAACAAAACTGAGATACTCTTTCCACAAGTAGCAGCCTTGCAATGCTGAGGGAGTCACTGAACACTGGTTAGTGGACAAATGACAGTCCTGGCTACTATGCCTCTCTTGCTAGCACATAAAGGGAAAAAAGCCTATCCTATGTCAGAGTATTAAGATACAAATTAGTTAATAGCTCCACAGAAATGCTCATATAAGACAATCTCTGATCAAAGCTTAGGTGGCAAGCATGAAGTCTGTAACAAGTTCTTTAAAAAGAACTATCCACTCAGTGAATAAGGTAGAAGAGTGGTAAATAAAGCTTTTTATTATCCAGCAAGGACAGTCATATCTGTAAACAGAAGATAGTTTTACTTCTGTTGCAGAAGCAACCCTAGCTCTGGTTTTCTTTAAACTACAAACCACTTGACATAGTATATTCCACTAATTCTCTGTTTTCAGGGTTTGGAGTTGCTTGATCATTAAAGCAGCAAGTATATTTGTGTCCCAAAAATTACAATGGAATCTCTGGATAAAGGACAACTTTTGAAACCAGTTTCTGAGTAAGCTTTGCAAACCAGGATGCTTTAATAAAAAGCAAAATTATAAAGAATACAGAATTGACATGCTGCTGGGAAACATGTCCATTCTATGTACATCTCAACTACACCACCAATTATACAAGTGTTAATTCCAAATCTTGCTGTGGAAAAAGTGACTGCTTATTTCTGACCTAATTTTTACTTTGTTTGGATCTGGATGTGCAACTGCAATACAAAAGTACATTTTAATTTATTTTTGGGCCTCTCACTGGCTATCAAAAACATCAGTTATTCTAAACAGAGTAACTTGGCAAGAATGCAGTAGTCAGAGCCCACCTTCTCTGCATACTTAGAATTATCTTCAATGTCACCTTAAGATTCAAAGGGCTCCTTAGAACTAATAAAGTAATGGGGAAAAAAAAAAAAAAGAAGATGCAAAAGTCATTTTAAAGAGACAGTCTCTGTTTTTAGTACTTAAAAGTACTTCAAAAGAAGTCTTCTTGACAGATATGTCAGTGTATTACTTATCCCTAGCACTGACCATGCTAGACAAAACAGCTCTACATTGATTTCAGTGAAAAGCTATCTCACTTTGATACTAACAATTACTGCAGCTGGATTTTTAAGTACTAGAAAGATTACTTGTGGCACTTATTACCTGTATAAAAATATTTTAAAATGGTTTGTCACACATGCAGCAGTGGATTAAAAACATATGCTACACTACACCTCTCTAATAAAACAAGTCACCCTCAGGGCAGAAGCTTGTGACCTGTTTGTGTATCAGTTAAAATACCAGCACATCTTTCAGCTCTGTATATAAAGGCAAACTAACTAAACAGGACCTTGGCAGCAGTGATAGCATAAATTATCTGATTTTAATCCTCTGCCATATGTCTGTCCCAACACAGGCTCATTTTTATTTAAGGAGCTGAAGGGCCACCCCCCATTGGGGGAAAACAAAAAAAAACCCAAACAAACAAACAAAAAAACACACAAAAAAAACACACACACACAAAAAAAAAACACACACACAAAAAAAACCCAAACAACCACACCACAATCTTGGTAGCACAGCCATAATAGCTTTTACTTATAAAGAACTGGGATATAGTTTGAATGTTCATTAACTACATCTCCAAGTACACCCCAATTTTTTCTGCTTGTTTGTATATACAGACTGGTATGCAGCTTTTCTTCAAAACCACAAAAAAAGCTCTGGAGTTTTGTGGATCATCTACCTGAGGTCTTACAAATAAATATCATGCTAAAAACCTAGTAACCAAGTTTAGACTCTTAAGGTGGCTTTCCTGTGTTTTACAGTTGCCCACCGTTCCGTACCTTACCACTGCTTCCCCAGGAGGTTACTGCATCAGTCCAGTCTGTTGGTTGTCTGTCACTTTACTTTCTAAACTGAAGAATCAGAAGAGAAATCTGATGCTTAAACTGTTTCAATAGACCCATCTTTTTTTATTTCCAGAAGCAGCAGCTGAGTTATTATTAGAAAGATGTCTGTCAACACTAAAATTACCACGTACTAGAAGCTGCTAAAGAGAAAAAGCCCAGTTCTACACACCCTTGTTAAAACTCTAATCATACAAAGCTAATGTACTTAAGTGGATTTCACCTTCCTCACAACAGTACTTTACTACCAGTATTAGTTTTGTTTATGCTGCAGCATTTAGATAGGAAGACTTTCTAGAAAAGTGTTTTTAGTATGCGTGTATCACAGAACTTGCAACTGGGAAAGCAGAAATTGTATTTAAGACCTGCATTGCCTCATTTCACAGACACTGGATAGCTATGTATTAACAGATGGATTTAAAACAACACAGCAACATCTAGCTGCCTTTTGAGCATTGCTGTTTAGTTCTCACCAGGTTTCTCTATCCATATATTTTGCTTGGAAAGAGATTGTTTTCTAGGTTTTGTGGCTCTTCATTGGCCCCACTGAGACAGTGTGCTCTTTTTTTTTTTTTTTTTAATTTTGAGTTTTAAGGGAAAAAAGTTTCTGTGCAGCAAACCTTGATTTTAGACAGGCACCACAAGGAGCCCAGCTTGCAAATGCTGTCAGTAACTAAAAGCTAAAGCAGAAATCATGCTCCATTTCCCGCATTCCCTTATGTAAGGAGCATGGCAGGTGAAGGTGGCAGTTGGCATGCAATTCACAGTCTAAGGGAGGTTACTGCTGCCAAGAGCACCAAAACACTGTATTAACCTAAAATCCAGCTGACAACACTGCATCATAGTGTTTTATGATTTCTCACAAGTCTGAGACCAACTCATCTCACCAAAATAGGTGGCACTCAAACCCAGTGAGACAATTCCATCCATACTGCATTTCCACAAATGCAGTCTGGGATGAAGTGTCAAATTAAGAACATTCCTATTTTGCCCAAGTAGCACACACAGGAACAGAGCAATGGCAACTTCTGTGTAGTTTTGATTCAGTTAGGATGAACATTAGAGCACCTACAGTACCTGGATGAAAGACTCATGTATCTGAAGAAAGGAAAAAAAACAACAACAAAATACTTTCCACCTGGCAATCTACTCTCAGTGGTTTTCTAAATCAGAGACTATTAAGCATTGATTTATGGAGGACAGATCCACAGATGGGTTGCCATGTCTTCATCCAGACTCCTGCCTGAATAGATGTATGCTTTGATATATCAACATCACCCTAGAGCAAGGGCCACAGCTCAATTATATTCCCTGTAGAAAAAGAATTCTTTCTCCTTATTTCATAAAATCACTCTGAAATTATATCTCTTTATTTCTGTAAAATAAGAACCAATAAATATTCTTCACCTTCTCCAAGCCTCATCTGCACTTCCATATACATTTTTTTTGTATCCTCAGATATCCCCCCTCAAAACAAAAAACTTAATCTACATTTCTCCCAATACATGAACATTTCTGCAAGTTTCATCATGCATGTCACTAGTGTGCTTTTTCTAGTTTTAACATCTTTGAGGTGACCAAAAGAGCAGACACACTTCAAGACATGGGAAGGTAAGGTTACTTCAAAGGCATAACAATTTCTTTTCTGTTTTCCTTGCTACTGCTACCTCAGTAATTCCCACCACGGCTTCTCTCCTAGATGGCAATTGGAAATAGACCTGCTGTTCTATTCTTAACCGTCCCAAAGACTTCAAACTCTTTCCTAAACCGTAATAGTTTGAATTAGAAAAATCTTCCATGTTGCTATATAGCTTGTAACAACTGCCCCCCACCTCGATCCATGTTCTCCCATACATATTACTTTACACTTAGTGATAGTTAGTTTCCTCTGTCGTTTTATATCTGCTTTTCAGAATGTAATTTGTATCACTGCACTGCAACTCTTCTGGGCTAAATAACATTGTACCAGCAAACTTGAGTTACTTATCTTTTAGCACAGACCTCCCACACACGCACAAAATAAAAAATTTAAACTAGGCTTAAAATTTTTCATTCTGAACAAGATTCCACTGCATTTTAGATCATAGCAGCACAATCATTGGTCCTAGGTTCAAATCTCTCCTTCCATTTATTTGAAGAAACCCTTCTA